GACTTCAGTTTTGAAGCCAAGGTATTTTCAAAATACCTATCTTGGGTTAGTTCAGCAGCATTTATAAACAAAAGTCTTTTAGCAGCCGTTGCTCCTTCCTCAACAATCAAACAATTCAAAGAGAGCATAATAACATACAGTATCAAGATTCTCTTTGTATTTTCCATCTTTGTGTGGCTTTACTTTAACCTCTATTTCTTTTATTTTTACTTTTACCTTTTGAGACAGGTTCTCTGTATATCTTTGTCCTGGAATAACACTGTAGACCAGGCTGTCCTTGAACTCACAGAGATCCTTCTGTCTCTACCTCCCCAGTACTGGGCACAAAGGTGTTTGCTACCACACCTTGAACTCACAGAGATCCACATGTCTCTGCTTCCCCAGTGCTAGGATTAAAGGTGTGTGCTACCACACCTTGAACTCAGAGATCTGTCTGTCTCTGCCTCCCAGGCATTGGGATTAAAGGTGTGTGCTAACACATCTTGAAGTCACAGAGGTCAACTACCTCTGCCCCTTAAAATCGCAGAGGTCAATGTACATCTGCCTCCCAGGCATTGGGATTAAAGGTGTGTACCACCACACCCTATTTCTCCCTTTACTTCTTTTTTATTTTTAATGATTTTAACCTTTAGCCTGCATATATTTTTAACACACTGTAAACCATTTAGAGGTTTTCTTCCTCTTTGAATCTCTCTTTACTGTATATCTCTCTTTTTCTGACCACATGAGTCTTCAATGGGTAAGACTAAAGCCATGGCTTTGACAGTTAGACCCAGGCCATTCCTTAGCTTTCCAGCCTCATGGCTGAGATAACAGCCAGAGCTGTGTTCACTGCCATAACTCTATGGCGTTTCAAGGTCCTTGCCATCAAGAAAACTGCAGCATTCTGCTCACAGACCACACTCAGTCAGACTGCCTGCCTGAAAGAGTCAGAGATTGCCCTGGCAGGAAAGCCCAGAAAGCCAGAATTTTAAAATGGCACAGCTTTTTTCCTACTACAGCTGAAAACTGAAAAGCATGTGTTCAGCTTTTCATCAACACCGTTTAAGTGTTTCGTGACAGAACCTCTTAAAAGAGCTGCAGGGTTTTGCAGATAAAGCTGAGTCAGGAAACCTCTCTTAGATGAGAGCATTTGCTTACCTCTAGCAAGCAGAGCAGACCCGAAAAATTGCTGCTACCAAGAAACCATGCTTTACTCTATTCTTTCCCAAGCTTTCTCAGGCTTTCTGTGGATTCATTTATCCATGTCTGGGTGCCATATGTAACACGAAGGGGCCGGCTTGTTGGGGTTTCTGTCCCGCCTGGTACCCCACAACCGGCAAGCCCAAAGAAAATCACTCACAAGACTTCATAAAATTATAAACTGATTGGCCCATTAGGTCAGGCTTCTTATTAGTCCTTATAACTTATATTAATCCATTATCATTATCTATGTAAGCCATAGATAATGGCTCAGTACCTTTTCCAGTGGGGCAGCTTACATGTTGCCTCTTCGGTGGTCTGCGCAGAAATGGTGAGGGACCTTCCTGCTTCCCAGAATTCTCCTGTTCTCATTGCACCACCTCTACTTCCTGTCTGGTTTTCCCGCCTATACTTCCTGCCTGGCCAATCAGCGTTTTATTAAAATTTGATTGACAGAATACAGATAATTCTCCCGCATCATCTGATCATTTATAGAAGTTGGCCAGAATATATGTTTCTTATTTCCTATTTGAATTTTTGATTTATCTTTCATGCTTATGCCATCATTTAGAACAGCGTGATCTTTTACAGATGGTTCTGGATTTTCTAATTTTCCTAGTGTGACATGTCCTCCACAGTTACTGGAAATGACTGGGCCACTTTTGGCTTGGGGGCTTGCAAGAGGCCCCTCAAGGAGTTTCCAGACGGTATCCAATTGCCTTTACTATGTGTTGTTGATTTGCATTCATTGGTCCAATATCATCCTTTACCACACCTTCTACATATACCTGAAGGTAGAGGTCTCCTATTTTTGCCATTCCCAGAAGAGATACTATTCCTAGAAATTCATTGCCTGCAATCCTTTTCAGATGTCCTATTTTATCACAATTAAAACATTTGGCAGTTTGATGTCTCCTCATTGCTTTGGAAATCACTTCTCCTACCCAAGATTTATCATTATAGTCAAATGTCTCAACATTCATTGTCTGCAGAATCCATTCATCTGTAGGTGCTGATCTAAACCTTAAAGGCCTAATTATCTTTTTGTATTCTAAGTTTGCATTTTCAAAAGCCAGAGATTCAAGAATTATTCGTTTAGCTTCTGGGTCTGTTACTCCTATTTGTAAACCCTTAGTTAATCTTTGTAAAAAGTCAGTAAAGGGTTCTCTCTGTCCCTGTCTAACCTTGGTATATGATTCAATTCTTTTTCTTAGTTCTTGAATCCTGTCCCAAGTATTCAAGGCTGCTTTGTGGCATAGGGACAAGATTTCTTCGTCTTAAAGAACTTGAACCTGTGGGTCAGCATAATGGCCTTCTCTAAGAATTTGATCTTGAGAAACCTCCATACCTTTTGCTCTTCCCTGCTGTTTCATATTTTTGGATTTCTCCCTGAAATACATTCCAAACATCAAGAAAGGTCTATCATCCAGGACTGCTGACACTAATTGAAAAAAATCATTTTTGGGCCTCTGACATTAGAGGCCCAAGTTTTTGCCATCTCCTTAACAAATGTGGAATGCAAGGCATATGTTACAACAGCTTCTTAACTTCTTTTAGATCATTCATTCCCATTGGCGTCCATCTACCTTCTTTGGCTCCCTTCAAGCCTTTAGCAGTTGATGCTTTGTCAGAGTAAATTACAGGGTAGGACGCTAAAACCCTGGGTAAGCCAGTTCTGACAGCCACTGGTGATGTTGCATCCTGTCCTGGTGCCTTGTTTTCCTGTTCATCAGCTCCAATAATTTCCTCAATCATTTCAAATCTTTTTATCATTTTCTTTTGTAAAGCCTGAATCTCCTGACCTCTATATATTTCTAGTGATTTCACCAAGGCATTGATTTTCTGGTCCTCATTCTGCTCCTGTGATTCCAAGGTTTTAATGTTTCCCTTTAAAGATAACATTTCATGGATATCTTGTAGATTGCCATCTTGGAGGAGCATTCTGTCTGTTAACTTATCAAAACTTTGTGGTAACTTTTGAATGTCAAATTCAATAGTATTAATCCTTTCAGATAACTTCCTAGTACCCTTAGATATGGAGTCAGTTCCATCTATCATAGTATCCACTTGTTCAAATAACCTCTGATTTTTGATTATATTAATTCTGTCAATTGGCTGTTCATTATTAGACTGTAAAGATTGTATTGTTCCTAAGAGTGCCATATTCTTTATTAATAATAGAATATGGAAAAGAAAAGTAAAACCTAGTAACCAATAAATTGAGGTACCTCCATAGTCATATAAGCCTCGTGTAATACAATCCATTGTGGTAGCAAGGAAAGCATTGAAAGTTCCATTAGAAACGAAGTCTGCCATATTACCTGTTATCCAGCAGATGGTGCTGTTTCAGAGTTGTGACTAGAATCAATGCAAGGGTGACACGAACGATCCTGTTTTAGTGTTTGAAGACTGGGAAACATGAGTTGCTCAACAAATTAAATGCAATCAAATCAATTCCATACACAGAACAAGAAGCCCAGTGTCCAGGGGCAGAGAACAGAAACCCAGAAGCAGCACATGCCAGGGTTGCAGCAGCTGGCAAACAGTGCTTCTACTTGCCCTCCAGCTGACTTGTTGCAAACTCTGTTTTGACGGGGATTTAAAAAAAAAAACTGTTCAGGAAAAAGCAAATCTCTCCGGGCCATGGAAGGACTAAGCCTCCAGCCCGGAGGGTGTGTAGTTTAAACCCATCTGGCACCAAGTGATGGGGGAGTGATCAGATGCTTAAAAGAAATCCCACACTGGCTCAGAACTGAGAGATAGATAATTATTTATTTAAGGGGAAAACTCACAAATTAAAATTCTCTGCTTGAACGGTGGATGGAAAATGGGATCCAAACAATCCGAACAAGGAAACGGAAACCAGGGTAATGAGAGAAGGGCCGGACATGCTTGGGATACAGGTAAACAGTATAAGGGGCCTCACCCCAGTAGGTGGGTAATTACAAGCTGTAAACCTTCCTACAGCATGGGTGGGCCAGTGAGACAGCTCAGTGTGGAGACATGACAACCCGAATTCAGTCCTCAGCTCCCACAGGATAGATGGAGAGAACAGGCTCCTGCAGGTTCTTCTCTGCCCTTCACACAGATGTTGTTGTGTGCACCCACACAGGGGAACACTAAGACACTTTTGTCCATGCAGCTGCTGTGGCATTCACCTACACTTGCACACACTGAAATAGATGCCTTCACAGAGACACACATATAGTACATAAGCAAATATAAAAAAATCATATTTGAGTATAATAATTGTCATTAGCTCCAAATCTGACAACTAAGTAGATAAACCCATGGAACACATTTCTCTTTCCTTCCTTCCTTCTTTCCTTCCTTCCTTCCTTCCTTCCTTCCTTCCTTCCTTCCTTCCTCTTTCTTTTTTTCTTTCCTCTCTTTACTGCTGCCTGAATATTTTCCAGGAAGTGAACCTTCCAAAGAGGTCACACTAATCCCTGTCCTCACAAAGTCCTGCTTCAAGTGGACCTGGCATCTGAGCATCCAGAAAATAAAGTCAGGGGCTGACTGAAAGCATACAGGGAACAGAGAAAAAATTCAGGGTGAGAACCCTCTAGAAGAGGAAGTCAGAGAGATATTGTTCCTCACACCAAATATACTATTTGAGGAGGGATATGGGGACACTGTGCGGGGAGTCAGCTGAACCTGAGTACAGAATTCCACAGAGTGGAAATAATAGGTTCTGAGGGAATGGAGGTCATGTTGTTTACCTTAATCAAAGAGAGTGGGCACATCCCTACCTACACACTTAAGGTGAGTAGTGTCACCCCTGCTCAATATTGGTGGTTTTTCTTGTTCCCTTCTAGCCTTCCTTTTAACCTGTTGGCACCTGCCCACTACTGCCCAAGTCACCATTGAATTAGTGCCGCCCCAAGTGGTTGAAGGAGAAAATGTTCTTCTACGTGTTCATAATCTACCAGAGAATCTTCTAGCCTTTGTCTGGCACAAAGGGGTGAGGAATATGAGCCTTGGAATTGCACTATATTCACTGGCCAAGGATTTAAGTGTGTCAGGGCCCATACACAGCGGTAGAGAGACAGTGTACAGCAATGGATCCCTGAAGATCTACAATGTCACCCAGAAGGACACAGGACTCTACACCTTACGAACCATAAATGGACAAGTAGGAGTTGGATCAATAACAACCACGTACCTTCACGTGTACAGTAAGTGATTCTTGGTGAACTATGGGTGCTGGGTGGGGCTCATTCTACTAGACACACACAAAAGTATCAAATCTAGCCTCTCTCTACCTCTCCTCTGCATGTGTCCCCATGTTTGTGCTTAATCATTTAATGCAGGAAACATATTGTGAAGAATAATGGCAACAGATCAGAATCCTTCACTTAACTGCATCTTGCACACAGGCGGATGCATGGCAGGTAACTCAGCCAAGAACATCAGCCTCTGTCTAGACTCTTGGGGCTCTCACAGGCATGTGTCCCTGAGAAAGACCGAGTGATGACTGCGGTGAGAATGCATCTGTCCTCTTCCCCATGCATCACTCACCAGTCCCTTTGAAGCCTCACAGACATCAGTCACCTTCCTGCTAAGAGGATATTCCATTTTTTCAGAGCATTGAGAACTCAGGGCAGGCTGGGTACCCAGACGGGTTTCTGTGTTCCACAGGGAGCGCAGAGGTTCCCTCTTAGTTCTGACAGATCCAGGGCCAGGACACAATAGAGGGCAGCTCCAGAGTGATCTGTGTTATATTAAGGCACAGGGATGCTCATCAGCCCTTTTGATCACCATGTAGTCTGGAGGACTGAAATATAAAGAGAGAAGTAGAGAGGGATATGGGGCAGCACTGAGAGTAAGGGGGCAGAGCAGTGTTTTGTAAAGAGAACACACACAGCTATGGAACTCTGGGAGATGCTCCTGTCTGGAAGGAGGATCAGTTCAGATGAGGGAAGGACAGCTGAGCAGACATGCCACAGGGTGAGGGGGGGACAGATAAGGTCACAGAGACTAGAGAGGCAGCCTTGTATCCCTCTGCAAAGGGTCACTGATTTTCAGGGACTCTTGCTCACAGGTGAGTAGACTTCAAGTTGACAGTATGAGAGGAGAGGACCGACTTACTGTCTTGAGTCTCCTAAGGGGTACAAGGACATGAGCAGAGTCTTGGGTTAGTTGGGATGAAGACATAGGTCATGCCAGAGGGTCATCAGCAGGAAACTTATTCTTATTCTTGATGAAAATGAAAAAGTAAGGGATTGAGGAATTGTTCTCACTCAAACTTAATAAGCATGACCACAGTATTCTGAAGACTGATGTTCTCAGCTTGCTGTCTTAAAGAAAAAAATCAAGCTATTGACCAGAGATGTGACTCAGGAGACATAAGCATTTACTTCATTGTCTGTCAAGCTGAGACTAATGAACACAAGTCCTCTGACCTCCAACTTGGTACTGACTCCTGCACCTACTCCCACACCCTGAGACATGCCCTTGCACACAAACATAAATGAGCATTAAAAAATCAAATCAAATAGAAAAATTCAACTCTGTATTCCCAAACCCATGAGTTTCTTAAGTAAATCCCTGGGTATACAGGATTCTGAAACATCATTTATTCATTCTCCACAGGTGTCTGGATCTTCCTAGGCATCATTTCTTTAAAAAAATATAAGATTAATACACAAATCCCTAGTCCTAGTGGACTGAAGTTAAGAAAGTTAGAAGGTGAAGTTAAGTGTTGACTGGAACTACAAGAGGAAAGAAGACAAACAAAAGAAAGTCAGAGAGTCAGGTGTCAAGGTCTGTAGGGAAAGAGGTCAGGGAGACATGCACCCAACACCAATCTACACTGAATATAAGCAGGGGTCTGAGGGCAGTGAGCTGGGGCCGTGTTGACACTTGATCAGAAAGTGACATACAGAAGAAATGACAAGTTCAGGGATGCTGAGGACATGTAGTTTATGTATTCACTTCCACACAGTAGAACAGGAAGACACCCACACACCTAGTCTGAGCTGAGCAATGGACATACCTGCTCAGGACACAAATGCAAAGGTTCCAATAATGATGGACTTCACTCTCTTCTCTTCTAGCCTCCCTTTTGAACTGTGGGCGCCCTCCCACCTCTGCTCAGCCCACTATTGAATCAGTGCCACCCAGAGTGGCAGAAGGGTCAAGCATTCTTCTACTCGTCCACAATCTCCCGGAGAATCTTCTAGCCCTTTTCTGGTACAGAGGAATTATTGTATTCAAGAACTTTGAGATTGCCCGACATGTAACAGCTAGAAATTTAAGTATCCTGGGCCCTGGACACAGTGGTAGAGAGACGGTGTACAATAATGGATCTCTGCTGCTCCAGAATGTCACCTGGAAAGATGCTGGATTGTACACCCTACGAACTCTGAGTACAGATATGAAAGTTGAATTATTACATGTGCAAGTCCAGGTGGACAGTAAGTGATTCTTGTGATCATTCAGTGCTGGGTGGGGCATAGTCACACAGGACTGTCGTGCGTGATTGTGCATACCTCCCCTCCAGACTGTGTCTCCTTGTTGAATTTTGAGGACTTAGTGCAGGACACACATAGTGGAGACAAGCTGCCAAAGATCAGCCTATGTCATTTGTCTCCACCCTCAGAGAGGAGGGTGTGTATGTGTGTGTGTGTGTGTGTGTGTGTGTGTGTGTGAGAGAGAGAGAGAGAGAGAGAGAGAGAGAGAGAGAGAGAGAGAGAGGAGATGAGAAATGGTAACACAGTTCAAGTAGCATTAGACTTAGTCATGTCTTTTGGGGTTCTCATCATGAACATGGGTCAGAGAAAGACCTTGTTGGCATCAGGCAGATCTTGACATCCTCACAGCGATGTAAGCACCAGGAAGTTCTGACTTCAGATCTCTGTCCCAGACTTGGCTACAGGTGACCTTGAGGAGTATTTTGACAGTTTTGAACTCTTACTTCCTTATGGACTTGACAGGGAACAATGATTTTTGGCCATTCATATTTCACAGCATGTAAAACCAATCAGTGCATTTTCATGAGAGTCACATTCAAGCTAGGACACGTGGTACCTTCTTCTGAGACTCAGCAGGAAAGCAGAGCTGAACAGGGGCCCTGCCATCAGTCAGCTGGCCTCATAGCCTTATGAGACTTCACAGGAAGGTCAGGGTTCCCAAGATGAAGAACACCTGGAAAGTGTTTGTCCTCTGGGGTCCAGCTCAGGGAATTCCTTCATTAGGGGAATGTTAACAGACTCTGCTGATGTGGAAAGTTTCAGCCATGACCTGAAATTCTCCTAAAAGATCACCAGGGGGCAGGATCAGGGCACACAATCCACAGTCAGACCCAGGAGTGGAGAATAACTTCTTAGGCTTCCATCCCTGTCTCAACACACCTGGAGGTCCCTCCCACAAGACCACTCTAACCTACTGGCTGATTTCTGTGCCTGAGAACACTATGCTAAGGTCCCTGTTCAGTCTCCTTTCTTCTAGCATCTTGCTTGGGGAAAGAGGGTGACCACAGGGAAATTACCAAGCAAAGGACAGAGGTCCTGAGCAGACTTGAACTGCATCTCTGCCAGCAAAGGAGGCTGGAATTCAGGATTCTCTCTGAAACCTTACACAGCAAGGTGAGTCCACATCTCTCCAGGACACAGGTGATCTTCTCCACACAGAGGACATGGCTTTCCTGACACTAGTGCCCCTGGACATCTGTCTTATGTCAGAAAACCCTGAATGGAGACACTAGTGATAAAAGATGAGTGTCATTCCCCTGGCACCATTCAGTTTGTCCCTTTTCAGCTCTCACAGACATTTTTGTTATCTTCTGGATGAGTAAATCCCACCTTCCCAGAGCATTTGAGAACATGGGTATGAGTGGGTGCCCAGCGAAGTTTCTGTGACAGAGGATGCAGAGGAAGGGCAGAGTCCTCTTTATAGGTGCTGACAGAGCCAAGACCAGGTCACAGCAGAGGTTAACCCTAGGGTGAACTGTTGGATGTGGGGGCACAGATATGCTTAACAGCTCATTGTGTGATCTGGAAGCCTGGAGCATAGAGAGGAGAAGAGAAACACCAGGCAATGTCAAGGGGAGGAAACAGTAGTGCCTTGGACAAGCACCCACCCACAGTCCATTTGACTCTGAGAGGGGCTTCTGCTTTGGAACAGGCTCAGCTCAGAGGAAGGCAGGACAGCAGAGATGGCTCTGAGACAGAAGAGCTCATTCCAGGACCACAGAGTTGACTCTGGGACAGGGAAACTGATTCCAGAACAGCAGAATTGACTCAGGAATAGCGGGGCTGACCCTGGGACTGCAGAATTGATTCTGGGACAGTAGAGTTAACTCTAGAATAGCATAGCTGTATCTGGAACAGCAGAGCTGATTCTGGGACAGCAGGATTGACTCTAAAACAATAGAGTTAACTCTAGAACAGCATAGCTGAATCTGGAGCAGCAGAGCTGACTCTGGGACAGCAGAATTGACTCAGGAACAACAGAGTTAACTGTAGAACAGCATAGCTGACTCTGGGACAGCAGCATTGACTCTGGGACAGTAGAGTTAACTCTAGAACAGCATTGTTGAATCTAGAATGGCAGAGCTGACTCTGAGAGAGCAGTACCGACTCTTAGACAGAGGAGTGTGGTAGCAGTACTGGATCCCGTGGTGACCTCCTATTCCAAGGAATCAAGATCCCTACCTTGCTCAAGGGGCACTATGGACAAGGCTAGTCTCGTAAGCGAAGAAATAATTCCCTGGTCATGTGTGGGAGGGGAGAGCTCAGGCCCAGGGTGGAGTCTCCTAGGAAGACAAGAGTCTTAAAGAGAATCAAGGTGTTGTCTTTATCCCTCAGTGAAGATGACACAGGGGAAGACAGAGGCTCAGCAGCAGGAAGTTCTCAGTGAACAGGAAATGGTAACGGTAGAGATGAAAGCCAGAGTGTTCTCTATTCAGTGGTGATCATGCTGGCTACTATATTCCGAAGACTGATGTTCCCAGCTATAATAGGGTGACACAGAGAAGAATCTGATCTGGGTGGGTCAGTGAGGTGTTTCAATGAGTGAAGGCAAATTCTGCCAGGCCCAGTGACATGAGTTTAATCCTCAACTCCCACATGATGAAAGGAGAGAGCCCTCTTACTCTTCAAAACTGTCCTTGGCCCCACATTTGGTACTGTGGCACACACCTGGGCGTATGGACATCTGTGTAGGAATGTGCTTGTGTTCACACCTGCATGCATTCACACACACATGAAATTGAAACAAATGCAAAAACTTAAATCAAACTGGGGTATCTAATAGCCACAAAGCTGAGAGTTTCATAAATAAAACTCTGGGTATGCTGGACCTTGAAACATTGGTTGCTATTCTCATGTTCATTCATTCATTCATTCATTCATTCATTCATCCTCCACAGGGATCAGAAACTTTTCTGGGTAGCATACATTCCTAAAATTGTGAGATTAGCCCTGGTCTTCATGAAACCCTATTCCAAGTGGATTTGAAGACAGGCCAATAAAGAAAACTTGAAGGTGAAGTTAGGTGCCATGCAGAGGAAATGGCATGTGCAGAGACACTGAGAACATGGAAATCATGTGCTGCCCTCCACCCAGTAGGACCGGGAGACACTCACACACTTAGGTTGAATGATGTTAGGACACATGGACCCATCTTAACCAAATATAAATGCCCCCATATTGATCAATCTCTGTTTTCCCTTCTAGACTCCCGTTTGACCTATGAGTGTCCTCCTCCCTCTGTGCAGACCACTGTTGAATCAGTGCCGCCCATCATTGCAGAAGGGTCAAATGTTCTTCTAGTTGTTCACAATCTCCCAAAGAATCTACGAGTCCTTTTCTGGTACAAAGGGGTGATTGGGTCCAACAACCTTGAGGTTGCCCGCCATATAATAGCCACGAATTCAAGTGTGTTGGGCCCTGCATACAGTGGTAGAGAGACTGTGTACAACAATGGATCCTTGCTGCTCCAGAACGTCACCTTGAAAGACTCCAGATTTTACACTCTACAGATGCTGAGTACAGATTTGAAAATTGGATTGGTGCATGTGCAACTCCTGGTGGACAGTAAATGATTCTTTATGATTGTTCTGGGCTAGGTGGGGTTTAGTCACATAAGATTGTCATGCCCCCCTCCACTCTGCACTGTGTCCCCATGTACACAGGATGCACATGGTGGAGACAATAATCACAGATCAGACTCCATCATCTGACTCCCCAAAGAATCAAGGAAGAATTTGATGGAAATTATCCCAGGCTAAGATGTCTGAGTCAGTTCAGTCTCCTGAGGCTCATCCCATGCATTCGAGGAAGACACCAGAGGAGAGAATTCCATTTAGAGAGTTCTACATATAGAAGTCCTGGGGTAATGCAGCTCATGTTGCTGACCTCCACAAAGTGGGATGGTGCACCCATGCTTGCGCATCTAGGCTGAATGATGAACCCATCAGCTCAGGTTGGAGGTTCTCATCTTTCTATCAAGCAAAATTGATCCCAAAGAATGTTTATTTTTCCTCTTTTTCCTTACAGCCTCCCATTCTACATGCTGTAAGCTTCTCATAATTGAACCAGTGCCACGAAATGTTGCTGAAGGAGAAAGTGTTCTATTCCTTGTTCACAATCTGCCAGAAGATGTGAGAACCTTTTCTTGGTACAAGGGAGTGTTTAGCATCCAGGTCTTTAAAATGGTAGAATACAACAGAGCCATGAATTCCATCACCTGGGGACCTGCCCACAATAGAAGAGCAATGGTATACAGCAATGGATCCCTGCTGCTTCAGGATGCCACTGAGGAAGATGCAGGGTTGTACACACTAGAAACTATAAATAGAGATTTGAAAATTGAAATGACACACGTGCAAGTCCATGTGAAAAGTAAGTGACTCACTCTACGGCCTCCAACTGCTGGGTGTAGATTATCCTGCTTGTTACACTATCTGTCAGGGCTGGGTTGTGATTATTCTCCCCTCACTGTGTCCCCACACTGGGGTTTGGGCCCTTACTGCAGGACACACATAGAGTAATTAAACAGCAATAGATCAAAACTCCTCATCTGTCTTTACCTGCAAAGTGGAGGACCTGTGCTGGGTAAACTCAGCCTCAGGATGTCAACCTCAGTAAGACACTTTGAGCTCTCACCATGCACATGTCCCCAGAAAGACATTATGGGAGTCAGGCAGTCCCTGGCTGACGAAGTCAAGGGATCTTCACAGAGAGCACTGGGAAGCCCTGTCTGAAAATCTTTGTCCCTGGCTAGACTCTAGATGACACTGACAAGCTTTTTGTCACCACTTGATTTTTACTACTATTAGAGTTGACAGAGGACAAGGCTTTCTTGGCATATGGAACCAGTCAGTGTGCTTCCATGAGAGCCATGGTTAGGCTCTCACCTGGACATCTTAGAGGCTCAGCAGGAAGAGTATAGCTGCTCAGGTTCTGAGGTCATTACTTAACTGTCCTGATGGACACATGAGACCTCACAGGCAGGTCATGGTCCCCAAGTGAAGGAACAAATGAAACAAGTCATCCTTGTAAGTGATTGTCCTGTGGGGTTCAGCTCTGGGATTCTCTCCTGCAGACAAATAGTAACATAGACACTGATCTGGACAGCTCCCAGACATGAGTTGCAGTTCTCATAGTCATCTTTAGGTGGCTATAGAAGGACACAGAATCAACACCTAAAAAGGTATCAAGGAGCCATAAGCACAACTTGCAGCCTGGCTTCCACCCCTTCTCCTACAGACGTGGAGATCACTGACAGCATTCTCAGAACTACTGGCTGCTTCTTGTGTTTCTAAGCATACTACTCTACCAGAGGATCCTGGTTGACACTCCCTCCATCTTGGTACCTCTCATGGGTATTTCACCTACACAGAGGATGGCTGGATCCCAGGAAAGACATGGAGAGACCATAGATACAGCTCAGCCATCACAAGAAGTTATAGGGTCCCTCTGAAACTGTCCCTAGGATGATGGAGTAACCATCCTCTCTCTAGGACTCAGGTCACCTCTTGCTTCACCACCATATGAAACTCCTCACACAGGTGCTTCAGGGTCATATGACAATAAGTCACCCCTTATGGTGACTTCAGTGAGAACGGTTCTGGTCCCTGTTCCTGGTATAACGCAGATGGTCCCCTTGCAGCTCTAGAAAACATCTCTGTCATAATCCTGCAATGAGTACATCCCACCTTCTCAGAGAATTGAGAACACAGGGCAGAATAGGAGCTCTGCTGGGATTCTGTGTCATAGAGGACATGTTGCAAAAACAGAGCAGAGGGAAGTCCCAGGATGAGCTGTTGTCTGATGGCAGAGAAATGATTATTAACCTGTTGCTTACCATGTGATCTAGAGGACTGAAATCCACACATAGACAAGGCAATTGGGACACCAGGCAGGTCTAAAACTGTAAGGGACAGAGCAGGTCCTTGGACACTATCTGTGACAACAGTCACATTACCCTGAGAGTGTCTCCTGTCTGTCAGGAAGCTAAGCTCAGAAAGAGGAATGCTGCAGAGCTTGGAGGCAAGTGTTGGAACAGAAGCTCTTCTCCACAGAGGGAGAACAGAGCAGGCTGCTGCCACCTTAGAGGCCCACGGTGTCCTTCCCTGCAAAGGGTGAAGCCCCTGGTAGTGGCTCCTTCTCACAGGTGTCAGGGGAGGGGAGCTCAGAGACCGATTGGAATAGGAAAAGCTCCTTCAAGTTGTCCTCAGACCTCCATCTAGGTGATATCACCCTCATTCTTTCATACACACAGCACCTGCATAAACACCCACACTCATACCCACTCACACACCAACTCCCTACACATGCACAAGTTCATGTAAGCTGGAGTTGTAACTGGTATCAGTAATTCTATACATGAGAATTTCATAAATACCTGGACATGCAAATCCATGGACATTTGATCTTCTATCTGCCCACATGAATCTGATCTTGACCAGGCATCAGGCCTTCCAGAAAGATCAAAGTAATTTTTCCTAACAAGGCCCCAGTTCTAGTGGACTGGAAGACAGACCAGGAAGTCCATCTTATAGTGAATTCAGAGGTTGACTACATCCAGAGAAGGGTGAGATCAAAGAAGTCAGAAGGAGAAGACTGGGGGTCTTAGAGGAAGAAGTGAAAGAAGGCACCCCATTCCACACATATTCTGTGTGTGAACAGGTCTGTGAGGACAGTAAGCAAGGAGGCACCTTGGGAGAGAGTTCTACACAAAGGAAATGACACAGTCAAGTGCACCAGGGTCATGGAGTCTTTTTCTTACTTTCCGAGTTGGGAAGACACTCCCACCCACCTCACTGAGTGATGGACCTGAGCTTCTCAGTACACAGGACTCTATCACCAAAGACAAAAGTCTCAGAATTGATGAGTTTGTCTCTCTTCCTTTCTAGCCTCCCTTGCAGCCTGCCGGCACCCTCCAACCATCACCAAGTTCACCATTGAATCAGTCCCGTCCAGTGTTGTTGAAGGGGAAAATGCTCTCCTACTTGTTCACAATATCCCAGGGAACCTTCGAGCCTTTTCCTGGTACAAAGGGGTAGCCACCGTCAACAGCCATGAGATTGTATGGTACATAGTATCCACTAGTAGAAGTTTGCTGGGGCCTGCACACAGTGGTAGAGAGACTGTGTACCCCAATGGATCCCTACTGCTCCACAATGTCACCCAGAAGGACACTGGATTCTACACCTTACGAACCTTAAATACACAGCTTGAAACTCAAGAAAGACATGGGCACATCCACATATACAGTGAGTGATTCTTTGTGACCTCTGGGTGCTGATGGGGTTGAAAACACTGTACACACACAGGACTGTCCAGTGTGGACTATGCCTCTGCCTCCTCTTTACACTGTGTTTCCACAGTGTGGTTTAAGCATTTAGTTAGTACACATGTTATGAGGAGAAAGACTGATATAGACTAGAATCCCATACCCAATTCCACCTGCAGAGTAGGATGTGTGCTGGGTAACTCAGCTCAAGGATGTCAGTCAGTCTCAGTCCATATTCTTTGTGTGTCAACATGATCATGGCACTGAGCAAGGCCCTGTAGCACTCAGGAAAGACCTAACTAAGGGAACCATGGACTGCTCACAGAGAGGTGAGCATCAGGAAGCCTTAGCTTCAGATTTCTGTTCCAGACGCAACTTTAGTTGATCCTAAAGAATATCTCCTCAAGACTAGAATTTGTCTTCCTGTCAGAGCTGACAGGGAATAAGTCTTTACTGACCAAGTTAAATAGATTGTGGAACCAGGTTTGCATTGTCATGACAGCTACAGTTAGGCAGATCACCTGGGCATCTCCTACTCATGAGTATCAGTGAACAGGTGCCAGGACATAACTCAACTCTTCTGATGGGCTTAGTAGACTTCACAGGAAGGTCAGGGTCCCCAAGAGGGGGGACAGAGGAGACAGGAAGTTTTTGTACTTGAGGGTCCAACCTAGGAAATTCTTTTCTGCAGACAAAGAGTAATAGATGCTGCTGATATGAGCATGTCACTGAGATCCCAAGGTCAGGCCATTGATGATAGCTAAACTTAACTTAAAGACATGCCAATAATCATGCAGTGTGTGTCCTTTTATAGGGAAACTTAGGCACAGAAAAGTCGGTGTCTGAATCAGGATCTCCTGTTCTTGGTGGCATATCCAAAGCACAATATATGACTATAATCATAGCCCTAACTTGCCTACCCTGGAGGTTTTATTAAGTGTGAACTATAGAGGGGATGGTTGAGATTGCTGAAGGGCTACTATCATTTGGTCTCCTCCTATGCTTCTTTGCAGAGCCTGTGACACAGCCCTTCATGCAAGTCACTGACCCCACAGTCACAGTAGGGAGCTCTGTGGTCTTCACTTGTGTCTCAGCTGACAATGGAATCTCCATCCGTTGGCTCTTCAATAACCGGAGTCTGAAGTTCACAGAGAGGATGACTCTGTCCCCAACAAAGTGCCGACTCAGAATAGATCCTGTCAGGAGGGAGGATGCTGGGAAGTATAAGTGTGAGATCTCCAACCCAGTCAGTTCAAAGACCAGTCTCCCAGTCTGGCTGGCTGTGCGTAATGAGTGACTGCTCCTCTCATCCTTCAGCAGAGCAGGGACATTTTTTTTATTGATGGGATAGAAAAGGAGAAAAGTTTTGTGATAAAAATTGTCAGTTACCACTTAAGGACAGCTAGCATGGTGACTCAAGCCAATAATCCTGGGATAAATGTGCATCAAGGACAGGCTAAGATTTAAGTGAGACTTTGGTCTCCAAATGAAAATAAAGACCTCAATAGAGTTAATGCAACTACAAAGGGTTAATAGGCTGTGGATGAAATATATAGCCAACAGAATCTGTGGGAACAAATTTTAGGAAACCACCAACCACCAAATGGATGGTCTGAGTCCCCTGTCAAATGGTGCAATCTTGGCATAGAGATAAACATCCTCTCCCATGCTCCAATAGTTTCACCCAACACCAATACTCTCCAGACATGATCATTTGTGTAAAGCAAGGAAGAGCAACAGGGGAAGGGACCGACAAGGTTTCTCTATGGACATAAATGGTTTCTAAATAGTTTTGATTCCCAGTTGCTTTGATGCACAGAAGTCAAGTCTATTGTGTAAGGGCGATTTGGGGTGTTTCTATCCTGGGAGTGGCATCCACAGTGCAATCTTGCACACAATTTTCCTGTTAATATACATTTTTTGAGATTTTTTACATTGGCAATTTTGAATCACAAAGCACATTCATATTGCCATGTAACCATCACCATTGTCCATTTTCAAAGCACTTCTAAGCCCACATGCTCTCTCCATCCCTGTCTAACCCCATCTAATATGTCTATGTATTTGACAAAATAGGACATCCAACATTTTGTGGTCAATATTAGTTTACAGAAGTATAGCTCACGTGGGTATGATTGCTCACCAGTTTCAGAAACTTCTTTGAAATCTTTAGTATTTTCTACAGATGTGTTTATGTCATCAACAGACATATTTTACAGCTGATTGATAGGCCACCTTACAATTCTTTGCCTTACCTAATTGTTCTGTTTAAGACTCTTAAGGGAATACTGAACAGAAGTGGCCACAGTAGCATCCTTATGTTGATCCTGATCTTAAAGGGAAAGCTGTCAGTGTCCCCATTGAGTAAGGGCTGGCTGTGGGTTTCCACATGCACCCCTCCTGTACTGGTGTATCTTCCATCCCTAGTTTGTCTGTTTCTATCATTAAAAACTGCTTATTTTTGTTCAATATGTTTTTTTCAGGTATGTGTTATTCATGAAATCAGTTTTGTGTCTCTTCCAGCTTCCATATCAGTAGATTCTGTGGCTTTTAGAAATTTGTCTGTTTCATCTAGGTCATTCTACAGTTAGTACATAACTATTAAGTACTCATGGAATTCTTAGTATTCTAAGAATGAATAGTAAGGTCTCATGTTTCACTTCTAGTATTAATAATGTCAATCTTTTAAAAACAAAGTTAATCTAGTTAAAGTTTCTGAAAACTATTAATCACTTTGAAGAATAAACTTCTGATCCATTGATTTTTCTCTACTGTTATTATTAATTTGTATCATTATTCTAACCTGTGGGAACAGAGGCGGAGATCATGGAGGAATGACACTTCCTGGCTTGCTCTCCATGGTTTGCTAAGTTACCTCTTACTTGTTCATCCTAGGATCACCAGCCTAGGCATGACATCACCCACAGTTGGCTGAACACTCACACTTCAATCAATAATCAAGTTAGTGCTCCATGGACATACCAACAGACCAAGCTAATGAAAGCAATTCTTTGAATTTCCCCAGGTGTCTCTAACCTGTATCACATAACACAAATTAGCCTACACATTGCTCAAACACATCTGTCCCATCTGGCTACTTTCAACAAGATGTTGCAACTGGTTTCTACAGGTCAGAAAATCAGTATTCACCTAAACCTCAAGAAAGCTGTCTGTCTACATGGTCCACATTTATGAGAAGGAGTGTTAAACCCCAAGAACAAGAAGGTGGTTCTGTTTCAAAGCCTGCCCTGACCTTTCACATTCTTAGATTGTTCCTCGATTCATTTTTTATCCTTAGGTAACTAGTGGCTCATATCAGCCATCATGAAACATCTAAGCAGAATGGTTTATGTTGTCATCCAGTTGGACCACTAAGCTGAAGCCAAACCTGCTTCTAGTCTACTGGGTGAGATTTCTGTTTACACATCAAGTCCTGTGGAGAGACAGTGCGTGCTTCTCAGGGAAGCAGCATGGGGACTCTCATCACTACCTATCTATAGGACAGGTTTGGACAGCAAGCTTTGGAGACCATTGGCTCAGGCTGAGCAGTGGAGGTCAGTGACTCTAGAGAGACCTTTGGACTACTTTGGGCTACTTGGCTCTCCTAAGTCTGTCTACTTCAAGTTCTGCAGCTGGGTTCACAGATATCCTTCTCCCATTGAGCACATAAGGCCCCACCATAGGTGAGCCTTCAGAACCACCTGTGAATCACCGCCTGTGATTCACCTTTTCATTTATTCTCTTCAGATTGTGGTTGGGTGAAAGACAAGAGGCCAACTCTAGTGGAAAGAGACCCTCGTAATAGTCAGGGGTCTCACACAGGGCAATCTCTTCTCTGTTGTATACACAGCACGATTACACACAACTACAGCAACAACCACAGCCCAGTGGAGGGTAAAGACTCAGTAGCATTATGTGAACCAGAGATTCAGGATATAACCTACCCTGTGGTGGATTAGTGGTCAGAGCCTCTTAGAGGATGACAGGTGAGGCTGTCCGAGAGCAATAGGACTCACTCTGAGTGTCCTGAGGATTCACATAGGACCCTATTAGTGTGGAATATGGAGCACAGTGAAGGCAAAACAATGTGGCCTAGTCAACCTGTGAGTTAGTTTTATTACACCATAACCAGAGATAGAATGTTCAGTTTCTTTTCATTCCATGACACAGACCCACCAATGTGGACACCTAGGTTAGCCATGGCTGACCATGTCATCCTGCACTTGCTCATGCAGTTCTAACCAGGTTTATTCTGGAGCTAAGAATGACATGGAGGCACTTCTGTTATTTGGAGAAACTCAGGGTTATAACCTGTGGTAGAGAAATGTGACATCTCAGGCTCAGTTAACATGTGGAAGTGTAGTTGAGAGTTTTCTGTGTGCATTATGTGCTGATGTTAGAATCTGGGTTATTATGATAGGCACACAGGTACACACCTACTTTATTACACTTCTAGCCTCCATTGGATAGCATTTAGTGGAGGTTGAGATGGCTTTTAGAGATACTATGACCTTCTAAAAACAGTAATTTCCCATTCTTTCTGGATGTCACATTTGGATTTGCTATGTTTACTCCATAAAGTCATGTCCTTCCCCCAAATTTTTATCCAATCGTGTTTTAGTTCCTTTTCTACTGCCATGATAAAACACCATGATCAAGGCAATCTATAGAGAAAGTAATTAGCTTTGTGTTCCATCATGGCACTGAAGCTCAGCAGGAAGCTCCAGGCATCTTAGCAAGAGTAGAAAGTGGGGGTTTACCTCTTGAACTGCAAGCACAAACCAGAGAGATGGAACTAGAAATGGTTCAAGGATTATTAGTCTTAGAACTTGCTTCAGTGGTGATCTTCCTGAAGATAACTTGTCTCCTAAGCCTTACCAAACAATGCCACCAACAGGTGACCAAAAATTTATATGGATGAGACTATGGGGAACATTTTTCATTCAAACCACCACAAGGGACAAACTCCTGACTCTTCCTGCAGCCTTTAGTTTACCTGCTCAGTATTTTTATCGATGGGGAACCTCAGTCATCCTCCCCAAAATGTGTATCCCCAGTATCACTCCTAGTAATCAGACCCAACACATAACTCTACTACTGGTCTTAGTAGGACTGTGCTAAAGAAAATCACAGTCCTTTCTAATGGCAGCCCTGAACTGTCAACAGCAAACTTAGATGCGAAATATTTTGGTTCTCTGAAAAAATACAGAAGTTGATTCTTACCTTGTTTCTCTGAGTACTAGCAAACCCTAATCTTCCCAGCTTGAAGGTTGACTCTCTGGTCTCTCCATCCTTGCTTCCCTGATCTCTTTTGTACAACTACAGAGCTTTCCTGAAATGTGAGTTAATATCTTCCAGCCCTGAGAAGTCTCAGGTAGTGGAAAGGACCTCTGGTGCAGTGTCCTCAAGGGCAAGTTGGTTCTTTTTGTCTTAACCTCCTGACTTTCTGTCCCCTCCATTAACTTTTTTTTTGATGAGAAAGTAATTTTATTAAATTATAAAAGTTTCCATTTCCGCCCCTCCTCCCAACACCCTCCCACTCCCCCCACTCCCTCTCCTCCTCCCTCTCCATCCCTAAGAGCAGTCAGGGTTTCCTGCCCTGTGGGAAGTTCAAGTTCCTCCCCCCTCCCTCCAGGTCCAGGAAGGTGAGGATCCAAAGAGACTGGATCCCCAAAATCCAGTATATGCAGAGGAAAGAAGTCCCAGTGTCATTGTCAATGGCTTTTCAGAAAGACTCCGGGCCAGCCACATTCAGAGAATCCGGCCACATTCAGAGAATCTGGTTGGATCACGTCCTCGTTCAGTTCCAGTCCAACTGGCCTTGGTGAACTCTCCTTAGATCAGTCCCCTTGTATCAGTGGGTGATCGCACTCCTCGCAGTCCTGATTTCCTTTTTCATTTTCTTCCTCCTTCTGCTTCTCATTTGGACCTTGGGGGGCTCAGTCCTGTGCTCCAATGTGGGTCTCCGTCTGTATCGCCATCCATCGTCGGATGAAGGTTCCCTCTGGTTTTGCCTTCTTTGCTCACGTTCTCTTTCCTTCTGCTTCTCGTTTGGACCTAGAGAGTTAAGTCCAGTGTTCCAATGTGTGTCTCTGTCTCTATCTCCATCCATCGCCAGAAGAAGGTTCTATGGTGATAAGCAAAATATTCATCAGTATGGTTATGGGCCAAGGCCGGTTCAGGCACCCTCTCCTCTGTCCAGAGAACAATCTGGGGATCTCTACTTGGGCCTGGGATCCCATTTATAGTCAAGTCTCTTGTAAACCCTAAAATGACTCCATTAGTTGAAATATATTCTTTCCTGATCCCATATCCATCCTTCCTCCCTCCCCCCATCCCAGTCCACCGAGC